TTTCAAATGGGTTTATTTCAGATAAAAGTCTGACTTTTTCTGTTGCACTAAAATTCTCAAAGCCCAAGATATTGACTAGAATTTTAAATCTCAGCTCGTGATATATGCGCTCTTCCCGAACAGCTTCTCGTTGGTCGGAATTTGTAAGACATAATCTTTTTATTCATTTTAATTATTCTATTGTAATTTTGTAAATTGGAAGAACCACATTTTTAAAAATCATACTTACTTCCATCGGCCAAATATCAAATTACATTAATAGTTAGCGGACCGGGAGAAAGTGTTTTGTCATCCATATATGTATGTACGAAGGCTTTGCACACAGACAGACAAAGATGCACATTCTAATGATAATTACATTGCAAACCATATTTCATTTTTATCTTTTTATTTAGCGCATAACTGCTATAAAACAATTAGGCAAAAGAAGTATATGTAGTTATAAAATACAAAAGCAAAGGTGAGCTGTCACACAGTGGCTACCATGAGTTCATACGAGTATTTATAAATAAACAGCATATTTCCCCCTCTATCTTCGTTCCTATATGTGCAACGAGTGACGTTCTCGTCAAGCAATCTTGCTAACCTGCGTTCGATCCTGTGCCCTGCCAGTGGATGGTAACCCCGGCCATTCCTTGCATACATGGGGTGCTTTAGATGCAAATAATAATCTGACGATCTCTCTCTCTCTCTCTCTCTCTCTCTCTCTCTCTCTCTCTCTCTCTCTCTCTCTCTCTCTCTCTCTCTCTCTCTCTCTCTCTCTCTCACGTTTACGTTTACTTTTTATGGATAAGCCTATTTTTATAATGTCTATATTCTATCCTTTGATATGTTTTCATACTTTCCTCTTTTATCATTGCTAGAATATAAATTCATGTTAAATGAATTCACATGATATCAGAGACTCGACAGACGATACTATATATCTTGCTGTCTCTCTTTCTCTCTGTCTATCTATCTGTCTGTCTGTCTGTCTATTTCTGTCTATCTGTCTCTATTTATATGTCTGTTTCTATATCTCTTCATCCATCTACCAATCAGTCACTATCTCATTATTTCTATTCGTCCACTAGATATTCTTTATTTAATGTTTTAGGCAATCCTTCACAAATAGGCTTGATTTCAAAGTCTAATCCTTTCTGTATAGAGTATTTTTTTATCAAAATGGAGACAAATTTTGTCTCTCTCTATCCACCTAAGTTTGTATATGCCTGCACCTTTATATTTAAAACACTGGCAACCATTTTGATTGAGTTTATTAAAACAAGTCTGATTTTTCTTATTTGCGTTATTTTATCAAAGACACCGAGGCAGATGCTTCTTTTTTCCCGAATTTCTCACACAACAAGTTTTTAATTATATTTTGATTGTTTTAACTACTGTTTGTGAGAGAGAGAGAGATAAATAAGAATGAAAGGTCACGATCATGATAGTGAAAATGGCAATAACGATGGTAATTACTCTGGCAAAAACAATAATGTTGATAAAAGGCAATATTAGTAGCAATTAACAGTAATGATAGTAATAATGTTAATATTGTTGAAAACGAAAAAGCCTTGATACAGTTATGATAGTTTCGAAACTTATAATTCCAGCAATAAGAACATGAATTGCCAGAAGCAAAATTGTTTATGGTTTTATTTGGAATCTTTAACGAAGCTATTTATGTCATAACTGTAACAAAGTCACTGAGTAATAAACCCAACAAAAAAGTAAACTGCCGCAACGCGACTGTGTGTGTGTGTGTGTGTGTGTGTGTGTGTGTGTGTGTGTGTGTGTGTGTGTGTGTGTGTGTGTGTGTGTGTGTGTGTGTGTGTGTGTGTGTGTGTGTGTGTGTGTGTGTGTGTGTGTGTGTGTGTGTGTGTGTGTGTGTCGCGCAATAACAGGAATATCTGAATGGCAAAACACTGCGTTTATTAATGAATATGAACTCGTAATAGACACTGTGTGGCAGCTCACTCTTGCTTTTTATGTATATAATCATTACTTCTGTCTTAGGTTTTCATAACAGTTACGTGATACATTGTTTCGCAACATAGAAGATGAAAATTTAATCAAATGAAGAGATGAACTATTTGTTTAACACATTTTGCTTAACTTGAAACCTGCTGCCAGTGTATATAGATTAAGTGAAAAATAATTAGTGGACAAGAAGAAAGAAGGAGAGAGTGAGTGATTGGTAGATAAATTATAAACGGCCAGTTAGATGGAAAGATAGATAGATAGATGGATAAAGAAAGAAATAGCTTGTGTGTGTGTGTGTGTGTGTGTGTGTGTGTGTGTGTGTGTGTGTGTGTTGTGTGTGTTGTTGCTTTGCCATTCATATGTGTATGTATGCATACGTTCCACGCACATATACATACAATAAAGAGATACAAACTAAACATATTCCCCTGATACTTACATAAAAAAAACTGCAAAAACTGCATGTCATTAATCCCGAATGGCCTAACGAGCTAAGCACTTCGAGGCGGTGCGATTCCCTTGTCCTTTTGATTTTACTTACTTTCGATTTCGTTGTCATAGACATGCTAATTTTATCAACAATTCTGGTAAAAACGGCGAAGATGATAATCATCATAGTATTTAAAACCGACGAAACAGAACTCAGAATTTATTGTTGTGTAGATCCCAGCAAAGGAGGAGGCATTCGGGGGAGGCGCTCATATCACGAGCTGAAATTTGAAGTCTAATTCTTTTCAGTAAATAAGAAGTAAAATATATTAGAGAGAATCTGAAAATGTTTCAACCATTATCCAAGGGCGGAGTTAAAATATCACACCATTGTGTCCCTACATGAAAATAGGCCTATCCATAAAACATAACCACGCCTGTCTAACTATCTATCTATCTATCTATCTATCTATCTATATATACATATACATATAATATATATTATATATTAATATATATATGTGTGTGTGTGTGTGTGTGTGTGTGTGTGTGTGTGTGTGTGTTGTGTGTGTGTGTGTGTGTGTGTGTGTGTGTGTGTGTGTGTGTGTGTGTGTGTGTGTGTGTGTGTGTGTGTGCATACATTTATATGTATATGGATATGTATAAGATATAGATATATATCTCTCTCTCTCTCTCTCTCTCACTCTCTCTCTCTCTCTCTCTCTCACTCTCTCTCTCTCTCTCTTCTCTCTCTCTCTTCCTCTCTCTCTCTCTCTCACTCTCACTCTCTCTCTCTTCTCTCTCTCTCTCTCTCTCTCTATATATAATATATATATATATATATATATATATATATTATATTATGTGTATACACACACACACACACACACACACACACACACACACCACACACACACACACACACCACACACACACACACACACACACACACACACACACACACACACACACACATTGCTATGATTTATTGCTATTATTACCATATTAATTTTCATCATTAGTCATTATCAATTTTACCTTTAGCGTTTTGTATTTTTTCTCATCTTTCTCTCTCTCTCAATCAATCGTCTCTCCCCTGGGCTGGCCGGTCACGCCCAATGTCTTTGTAAGTAGTCATATAGACCTTTGTCGTGTAACCGCGCTAGCACCGATTCCAGGCGACCGCAAGGCTATATAGACATGGGTCGACCGTATGATGTTTATATGTTTGTGTTTTATACTCTTTTATCAATAAAAAATCAAGCCGTACGTGCCAATTTATCCCTGCAGCCACCAGTCCCTTGTATGGAGGCTTTCATTACCCAAGTATAACCTTTTACAATCATTTATAGAATCAGTATATTTATAGCCACAAATTCGAAACGAAAATGAAAAAGACGGGAATCAAACCCCAGTCCTCCGTCTCGAGGGCTGGTTATTAACTCATTAAGCCATCTTTAACATTTAAAAATGCAATTCGGAATTAATAAGCTGCATTTTTTTTCGGATTGTTTGTCATAGTTTTGCGATGTAATCATCATTAGAACATGTTCAGTCTATATCTCTTCTGTCCGTGTGTGTGTGTGAGACAGAGAGAGAGAGAGAGAGAGAGAGAGAGAGAGAGAGAGAGAGAAGAGAGAGAGAGAGAGAGAGAGAGAGAGAGAGAGAGAGAGAGAGAGAGAGAGAGAGAGAGAGAGAGAGAGAGAGAGAGAGAGAGAGAGAGAGAGAGAGAGAGAGAGAGAGAGAGAGAGGAGAGGGGGAGGGATTGGGAGGGGGGAGGAGAGAGAGAAAGAAAGACAGAGAGAGATTGAGAGCACACTTACTTGCCTGCGTGCGTTTGTACCCACTAATCAATGTACTTTTAGAAACGAAAGGTCTAAAGGTGTGAGAAGGGCGGAAACGATACATGAAAAGAGTAAGATAAGAAAAGTAAATTTGCTGACGCTGAAAATAAAAATGACAATAACGCTAATAATCCGAATAACAGTAGTAGGGATATATGTGTTGCATTTGAATATAATCATAACAAATTGACAAATTTAAGGACCATCTTAAAACATTCTTTAATACCAGGCCCTGCCTTAAAATCTGGCCGAATGATATATCGACAAAAATCGGATGTTCAGCTCATTTTGTCTGCAGTAGTTAAATACTATGCTTAGGATCTTGAGAATCAAGCATATAGTTTTTCTTGCTTTTAGAATCAAGGTATATTGTTGAAGATCTTTCCTGAGATTTGCAGTGACAGGGCTCTAGTTTACCAACAAAACTGACAAATCTACCTTTTGTATGTCGAACCAGAGGATGTATTGTGGAATAAAAGTCTTTGTACCTCTAAAATACTTGGGGAAGGGGCGCCATACCCCGTGTTGTTTATTTCATCATATTCTGTGCCAAATATGTTGTGGAATCCTAATTGTACTAATAGCTATTGGTGTAAATTCCAGTCTGAAGCGACGCACTTTCTAATGTCTGCTTTTAACATTTTGCTTTGTTTCTTAAATGTTTTTTTCAGAATGGGGGGTTAACATCCACCCTACCGAATATCACAGTTTACTATAAAAACCGAGTTTTCTTTCAATTCGAATAATAACAGAAAACGAATAAGTACCAGCTGATGAGAGGATCAGCTGATTGAGGTTCGTCTGGGGGCGGTTCCAGACTCCTGAGCCAAAACCAAAATGATTTCCGCGGAAAGTAGGCCGAGGTCCAATACTGCAAGGGAAGGACAAGTAAGCATGAAATACATTACTGATAAAAATGCAAATAGCAGGAATATTGTGTCCGTATATCAATAGACTGTAATTGAAGCACGACCAGTTGATCGAGTTTCTCAGTGGACCTATTTTGCAACTTGACATGAAAATACAATTTATTATTTTTAATTCAACATTTTAAGATCAGAATATGGTATCAGATAAAAAAAAATCTTGTGAATAAGACATATAGTTTACCTTGCTTAAAAGATGAAGGAAAGGTAACTTCAGAATACCTTCGCATAACCAATTGCGACGTTTTGGTAAATTTACAGGGAATAACAATCATGATTTCAGTTTTTTTAAAAATGCATGGAATGATTACCTTGACATAAACTGAGACACTTTTCAGCTATGTCAAAAGGTGCACAAATCGAAAATAAAGGAGATACAGGATGAGATAGAGCACGTAAAAATTTCGATATATAAAAACTGATATCCGTTTCATTGTAAACAAGCAGTGGGTACAACCCCCTGTGTTACTGTATCTGTTTATATTATTGAGGTTTTACCCCACAGTTTCCCTGGTACTTTTCATCTCATCCCCCGCTAAAGGGGATAAGATTATCGTTAATGGGGGGTTTCCGTGGCGTAATTTTAATATTTTTGGATATGAGAAAGTGAAAGGAATAAATTGATACCTAAATAGTCGCAATTGGTTGTGCAAAGATATTCTGAAAAATCCCAAAAGCATTTTTTTCAACAATTATATTGAATTATATGTTAATGTATCAAATAAACTCCAGGAAGAATATGGTGATAGTTGTCATAAGCTTGGAACTAGGTTTAACTCAGTTGTCTTGATTGAAATACAAAATATTCTTTTATTTCATTTCCAGCAATAGATAGGAATAACTAATTTTTACACAGATTTAGAAAGAATCTAGAATTAGTGCTTTTTGCTAAATATAACTTTTATTAGTATTTAATGAAATTTTTATATTTAATATCACTATGATTTCCAGGTTGACATTCGTGAAGATGAAGAACAAGGACTGAAGCTTTCAGAAATTGTTGAGCTTTTAGTTGCCGCTGGTTACTTTAGGGCTCGAATTAAGGGTCTATCTCCCTTTGATAAAGTATGTATTTCTCTTGTATTATGAAGCATATTATCATGCATTGAATTATGAATATATGTATATAAATTATGTATATCTATAAAAGGTATATATCATTCATATACCATTTTTATAAGATAAAATAGATGTAATGATATGTTCTTTTTACATTTCTTTCCTAACCAATCTCCCCTCCCCCCTCAGCCCATGTAGAGTATTATTTTAAGGGGTCATAGGAGACGGGGACTGAGACCCAATATAGTGGATCACCCCTACCTTAAACGTCTGCCCACACCTTAACTAATTTTGAATGGTCTTTTCCTCTCCCCCTTTCCTTTTCCTTCTCGTCTTTAAACCCTTCTTCTGTCTACTTCCTTAGTTGTGAGATGTGTGCTGAAAGGATGAAAGACTGGTTTTGTGTTAGTCCTGAATGGCCTCCTGGAGCCATGGGGATAATATTCCCTTGCCTAGCCCTTACCCCTTATGTGGGTAAGGGCTCAGGGATCCTTATGGGGACCCTGAGAGGTAGACTGTTTCTCTTTCCCACACATTTCAGGTTTACCATGGCCAGTAATGAAGATTTTGTACTCTTTAAGGGCGTTAAGGCGCCTTCATCAACTAGCCTGTCTGAACTGGATTTCTCTAGTTTCCTGACCCCGCCTCTCTTTAGATCATGGCTCTGACCGCTGATACAAATGTTTACTGTCATCTCTATCCATGCCTAATCATTCACCCAGGTCATTACTCAACCTTCAGATTACAGCTTTTCCTCTCTCCATACTTCCTTTACTCCATCTCGTCTTTCTGCACAGTCTTCTTCATTGGCTTCCTCCCATCCTATCTTCTATCTACTGCTTTCACCTCTGCAAACCCTTGGAGTAATCTTTTTAACCCAGCCAAGTGAGATTGTTTCTTTGTGATTCCCCCTACATCCCCGTACTCTGACAATATCCTTCTCTTCCAACAATGACTCCAAGTACAAGTAGGCAAAGTTTCCTTTTGCAGTTATTCCAGTTATTCAAGCCATGTCACAGTTACATACAAGTCCCAAGCTCCTGCACTATCTACCTAATCAACCTCACTGGCAAACCAATTTCTATCCCAACCTTACTCCTCCCTTGATATTTGTACCATAATTGTTTTCATCTCCTCAACTGATTGCTGTGTCTACAAGAAGGACTAGTCAAACTGAAAATTACCTACTTGCCTGCCTTGTTGATTATGATAAAGTGGCAGTACAGTGCTACACTATTCCTTCTAGAGGCCTGCGTAAATGCTATACCAATATTGCC